TGGTAAGTTAAGTGGCTTCTGTAGCTAAATTCATTACATATAGTGGTCTAGGAATGCAAAAAAGAACATTTAAATATTAAGCATTGGCATTATTATGAAATAGCTGGAAACATTAGGGGATGCTGTGTGTTGTGATCCTTTGTCACAGGAAAGCTTCTTCAAGTCAATCCATGGCTAAAATCACGTGAGAATACACCAATATTTTATGGTGCTTTTGGGATGAGTTGCCACGTTTGACCCACAGTTAGACACATTCTTTCTCAGTTCGGTGTTAATTACATTAGTGACTTTCGTTAGTGCTTTTCAGACTGAAAAAGACATAGGAAGTGAAGTGATCCCTCTTGTCCAATGAAAAAAGAGAATGAATTTCCTTTAAAGACAGGCACTATATTTGCTAAGGAAGTACTGAATCTAGTGTCCACATCTTTATAGGCACTTTACTTAAAAATAATAATAATTTAAAAACACACACAACTCCCCTCCATGGTAAATTTTTATTTTATCATAACCACTAGATTAAGATGCAAGATAATAGCAGTGTGTGTACACTCTTAAGTTAATCGCTTGATTCCTCACCTACTTGTACAGGAAGAAAATGCTCTTGCCTGATTAGATAAAAATGAATGTGTGCAGGTCTGCAAAGCCAATTCCATGTGATAAAATGGAACTGTGCAGGAGGGCACTTTTATAGAAGCAATATAATTGTAATTTTGTTTGACAGTGAATATTTTAGGCAGTTTCCCCCCCCCTTCCTCTTCCTTCATACTGCATTCTTCAATGGATTATTTTACTGTCCTTTTTTCACTGTTCTCTGATTCTGAAATCCAGTTTCTTGGATGTATTATACTTCTAATATGTTGTTCTTTAATTGTGTAACTCAGTAGTATTGCATTGTTTATGTATGATGCTGGTCTTCATTTTATTTTGTTATAATTCTGTGATCTGCCTTGGCAGTCTCGATGAGAAAGAGGTGAATGAAAAATGAAGTAAATAAATAGATAAACAGTAGAACATTTTCCCAGTCCCACCGGTTGAACAGACTATGATGAATGGAAACCCCTTTCTGTGTCTATCTGGGCATTCAATTTATAGGTTGTTTCTTGAGCAGTTTCAGTGTAAACTGGCAACTTTAACATATTTTTTGCCTGTTTCAAATGTCCCAACGGACTTGGTCAAACTAGCGCTGTTACCTTGAGTTTGCACTGAAACGGATGACATGAAAATATGTAACACAGGCATGTTTTCTGTCAGGAACCCAAGCCTGGGTCCCTCTGAGTCACTGCCTCTTGGGCAAACAAGCAGTGCTCAGATTTGTGGGTCCCTGAGGTTAAGTGCACACAAACAAAAAACCAAACCTTTGAAAAAATATACATATAAGTTTATTGAATGATTTTTTAAAGGATTATCAGTAGGCAACACAGTCTCTAGAATTCACTAGCAAAAAATAATAACAAAGGCTAACTTTTCTATCTAACCCTTTCTAGCTAACACCATTCAGAATATCAGAGTCCAGGCCAGAAGCTTACGCATCTTCTACATAGCAATCCATTGCAATGAAGCTTATCATTGTCAGAGCCACTGTCTCATGGCATAATAAAGTTAGCTTGGCTTCCTTCTTGTCTAAGGCTTAATTATAGTCTCTTGTCTCTGCTGTCAGGTGGTCCTTTGAATCCAATCAGGTCGCTTCTTACTGGAACCCTCTAGAAGATGGTGACATTAGCTCCTGGTTCCCCCCTCCCATCTGGTTACTGAACTGAGTGCAGGTTTCCAGACTAAGCCAATTTACACATTCTTGAATCCAGCCTTAAAAGAATAGTGTCTATGAGGAGGCCTAATTATGAACACCTGCAAGCCAGAGCACACCTACTATTATTCATGATAACCCTTGGGTGTAATTAGGGTGCTCTGCCTCACATTTGCATATGTCCATTGATCATCCAGCCAATTATAGACCTATTAGCTTGCTCAGCATTATAAGTAAACCATATGCTAGTCCAGGGGTGTCAAACCCATTTGTTATGAGGGCCAAATCTGACATAAATAAGACCTTGTTGGGCCGGGCCATGTGTGTCATAAAATGTAATGCCAGGTAGCGGAGATATAAACTTTATAAAGGACACAAACACAAAGGGTCTTTTTTTTACTTAAAATAATAGCATGCTTAGAACATTAGTACTCTTGCAATATTTTATTTAACAGTGTCTGATAACTGATACCTCTTGCTCTGAAATATTGCATCAAAATGTCTGTGCTCTTGCAGTCTTCAGTATGCTGTTCAGGTGTGTATCTGTAAGCTGCAAACCTACGATGGCGCAGCAGCAGCAGAAGTGGAAGAAGAAGCAGGAGACAGCCAGTTCCACTGTGGGCCTGATAGAAGCCTTCCAGGGGCCTGATCCGCCCCCAGTGCTAGTCAATTGCTAGATAGACTTAAATGCTGGATTGAACAAGAAGATATCTTTGTTATAGAACAAGCAAGCTTTAGGGAGGGCAAATCTACTTTGGGTCATTGTCTAATTATGCAACATCTGAGAAATTTTGACTAGTAGATTATATGCTGCCTTTTTTGACCTGAGATCTGCCTTCGACTTTATATTTAGGGGATTGCTATGGGAGAAACTTAAAGCCATGAATATAGATCGTAGACTCTTATATATAATATGAGCCATATATTCGAATACATCCCTCAAAGTTAGATGCAACAGGGCTGGACACCTTTCTAATTCAGTAATAGCAGCAAAAGGAGTAAAACAAGGCTTCATCCTGGCACCAGTGTTGTTTAACCTATATGTTAATAATTTGGCAAGTAACAAAGGTAACATTGATATCCACTCCCCTATTTTAGTAAACAGGAAAATCCCGGCGTTGCTATTTGCCAATGATATGGTACTACTCTCTAGAACCCCAGTGGGTTTGAAAAGAGTGCTTAAGGAATTTAAGTGTTATTTCAAAGAGAGCCGATTAGAGATTAGTTATCAGAAAACTAAAATCATATCCTTCAGCAAAAGTCGGAAAAAAAGGTCTTGGAACATCAATGGCTATAAGTTGGAACAAGTACTGTATTTCAAGTACTTAGGGGTGATGATTCATTCATTTGGGACCAGAACTGCTCATCATAAATATGTCATAGCAATAGGCCAACAATCCACTCAGAGTATTTTAAAATTTGCATGTACCAAAGGAGGTCTCTTAATATCAGCAGCCCTCTGACTATTCCAGCCAAAAACATTGCCCCAACTAATGTATGAGACAATACTTGGACCTCCCTCCTCTTGTTTCATCCCTTTAGAACAATCAAGATTCCTGGGAACATTATTCCAAGTACCCAGTTGTGTTTCCAATGCTAGCTAATATCTTGATTCTGGTTTGGTTAAGGTGGAGGCTAGGGTAAGTCTTGCCTCTATAGGGTTGCCAAGTGAATTTTACTCACCAGCGGGGGAGCCTCGCCGCGCTCCGGAAGCTGTCCCTCGTCGTGCACACGCGCGCCGCCAGCACGTCACCAGAAGTTACGCACAACGCCGATCACGTTGAGGGCGTGGCCCCGATCATCGGAGGGAAAACCATAGAGTTTTCCCTCTGACGATCGGGGCCATGCCCCCAACGTGATCGCCGTGGTTGCATCACCGCTGGTGATGCAGCCACGCTGCGCTTCGGGGGGGGTGGAGTTCCCCCGGGGCCTGATTCCGTGGTGGCGGAAATCGGGCCTCCAAAGCGGGGGTTTACCCGCCCCCACTTGGCAGCCCTATGCCTCTATCAATTTTTGGCTAAATTTAGCTTATCATCCAAAGGGCCTGACACCCTTAGCTCTCCATTACCAATCTTCCTGGGTGAAGAACATTGCAAATTGCAGGATTTTCTTTAGAAAATGTTCTGGAAAAGGGGTTATGATCAAGCAAAAGCAATGGTTAAACAAAGATTGTTTGATATAGAGTGACAAATAGACAATAACAAAATCCCAAATTTTATTATTTCAAATAAACGTAGATTATATTGATGCTCCAGTATCCTATCTCTCCTTTTTGGAGGTACCTAGCCAATGGAGAGCTTTTACATTGGCAAGATGGTGAACTCTCCCCTCTTCGGTTTTGGAGGGGAGATGCAAAAAGATCCCCATGAAGGAGAGAATGTGTCCCTGTGGTACTGAAGAGGTGGAATCAGTTGAGCATATTTTGTTTTATTGCTGTTTTTATCAGGAAATTAGCTCAAATATAATCTCCCCATTGCTTAAAAGATTTTCAAGATGTTCTGATGTTGATATTTCAAAGAAGCTTTTATTGGGTGTTAATCAACAGACTACTATTAGTTGTGAAAAATTTTTTTCAGCAGCTTGTAAAATGTGTCAGGAAATTTGATGTACAGATTTTAAATTTCAGTAAATTCCAACTGTTGTGTTAGCAGGATTGACCTTTTCTATTCTTTACTTTGATCTTTTGATTTGTACTGGTCATAGACTGAATAAATCTTAATCTGAATGATTCCTAGAACAAGAATATTATGGATGAATAATACACAGGCACATTTACAATTAAATGGACAGCGATTATTACTGATGGTGAACTAAGGCTCAGGACAGTGAACATGTCTTTTTAATTGATATATTATGGCATAGATTTTTAAAGATCTTACCATTTTTTATCTGTCCATGGTTGTTTTATGTCCTCTGTTCAGCTTTTGAATGTTGACTCAGTAAAGCCCCCCCCCCCAATTGTGCTTGAATTTTGTCTGAGCTCCCTAGACATTGCTGGCCTACAAGGCATTGTTGGTTACAGGTTTAACAAGAAAAAATAATTTTGTAGCCATAGAGCTACTAGAATGATAAAATTGCCATCATGCTATTTTAGTATTGCATTAAGGAAAATTTATACATTGACTGAGTGCTCTGTGGCAGCTGAAGGGACTTCTGTATTTTTAAAGTTTGCTATGTTTTGTGTTTTTATATTTCAGTTCTACATGTAGCTAATAATCAAATACTTTGTAATTGTGCTCTTTCCTGAATTGTTTCTAGACAAGATTAAAGAAGCAATAACTGATGCTAATAAAGCCGTGGAGTTAGACCCTTCAAATCCTGTGAGTAGTAATGCTTTGTGATCTAACTAGATAGGTCATAATGTATGTGCTTTACCATATGGGGATAGTACCAAAGAACTATGAATGGAGATCCACTCACAGAAATAATCTTCCTTGCTTTCCTTTCTCTACTGTAGTTCTTGAAGAGCTGCTCCTTAGGGTTGGGGAACTGGATCTAGGGGGGAGTGTAGGACAATATGGTGGCCCATTGTGCCTGTGAGTTCAGTGGTACCTGCTAATGTGTTTCCTGGTTCTCACATGCTTTTTTGACAAAGCATTTATGCCCCAAAGCCAGGAGCCAATCTTGGCTTTCCTTCACATCATGGGGGCAGAAGGTGCTTCAAAAGAACCAAGGAGCACCCATTCAGAATCAGTTGCCTCCATCATAGGAAGATGTTTACTTGCAACTTCCTAATATTTTGTGACTTGTCCCAGCAGCCCACGGCAGCCATTTTGTAGTATCTTACATTCTTAGTTCTCTAAATTCCAAGAGGGCTCACAGACTTAACAAGATAAGTATAAGGTAGGTTTTTAATGAGTAGTATTTAACTGTACACATGTTCCAGTTTTCAATTCCTGGTTTTTTTAGTTCTGCTTTTCTATGGAGGTTCAAACCACAAAGGGTAACATCAGCCAGTGGACCCTTGCAAAGTGCTCTCAGGAAAGGGTATTTTGCACTAAAAAAGGTGATTTAAACCACAGTTGTTTTTCATTTAGAGAAAATTGAACTTACTAACTGTGCTTTACTTTTTTGCAGGATGTGTACTGTATCAGAGCTCTTGTTTGGGGTTCAGCAAAAGAAAAGAGAAGAGCCCTTACTGATTTAAACAATAGTTTGAGGCTGCATTCATCACATATTTGCACTTTGATCTTAAGGGGAGCTATTATAAACTCTCTTGGGGCTGTGACTTCTATGCACAATAAAGACCACAGAAAGGTAAATGATGCTCTGAAAGATCTATCGTTTAATTTGCTTATCTCATAATTGTATACATGATGGGTTTTCAGCTGAAGCTCAGCAAGGGGCTGGTCTTGATGGAGGTAGGCACAGACCTTGTTAGTATGATTGTTTATTATAGATCTGATTTAGCCCCATGTAGTTTTATGACATCCTTTTTTATCTAGCCTTTATTAATTTAAAGCCTTTGGTTTATTCATAGAATTGCTAATGCTCAAGTCTGCATTCCACTCATGCCAACGGATAAAGAACAGGACTTGAAAGCTGTGTTTACTATTTAATTTATTTATTTTATTAAACTTATGAATCGCCCACCCTGCAAGCATGCTCTGGGTGATATACAGCCTTATAAAACATTTAAAATACAATCAATATATAATTAAACTTGCCAACAGTAAATCAGTAATTTAAAACCAGTCCAAGATAGTAATATAATAATCCCCCTTTGCCAGTCACACTGCTGTCCCGCAGGGCAGGGCAGGGCAGGGTACGTGGGGGCCATAGGAAAGAAAGGGGGGGTACCAGTCTTAACCTCCCATTGTTGCCCTCAACTAAAATGTAAATGTCTTAGGAGAACAAGCATTGTGCAGCAGTAAAACCATCTAATTTATCTAACCAGTGAGGTCACTAAGTTACAACTTAGTGGGATGTGGGATAGGGCTAAGAGCACCTGTTGCACACTAACGTATTTTGAATCTTATTAACCAAGAATACAGATTATCATTTGAGAGCACTTCTGGTATAGTAAGGGTAGCATCAGAGTAATAGCCAATAGAACTTTCCCACACACTTGTTAGATTTATGAACAAACTATGGTTTGTCTGGTCATGAGGCCCATGCCCTTGCAAGCCTTTCTAATGGCTTGCATTATATCATATAATTTATTTGCAATTAAGAGAATGATGAGGAATCAGTTCCATTGCTGTCATGTTATATATCACATATTCATAGGGACGGCAAATGCACAGATTTTGTTTCAGATGAGATATGATAATAATGGTAACCTCATGACAGGCTTATTATCCAGCTTGGTACACTTTGTTGGATACTTTTCCAATGTGATGAAAATTAAATAATCAGCAATGACTCCCAAGTTTATGGCTTATGATAGCCACTTCAAACATCCTTGTTATCAAGACAATACTTAAACATATCCTTAGTTTGGTTGTATCTCCATGTCCTTAGTTTGGTTGTATCTCAAACAATTATTGGAAAAATATAAATAAGTCAGCCTATGAAATGTTTGTATTATTTTTGTAAATCATTACTGCTTCCTTTATTGTACTGAAACAGAATATACAAAAAAGGAGGTGGGGTGGCACTATATGTCAAGAATGAATACTCTTGCACTGAAATTCAGGATTTTGAGAGTTGCCCTGTTGAAAGTGTGTGGGTAAGGATGGGGGGGGGAGAAGGGGATATTGTTGTGGGGGTATACTACAGACCTCCGAACCAACCAGAGGAACTGGATGATACATTTGTACAACAGCTTGCTAAACTTTCACAGAGACAGGATGTAGTGGTTATGGGAGATTTCAACTATCCAGGTATTTGCTGGAAATCTAACTCTGCTAGGCATGGGGCATCCCGAAGATTCTTGAATAGTCTTGCAAACAACTTCATCTCTCAGAAGGTGGAGGTGGGAACCAGAGGATCTGCTATCCTAGATTTAATCCTGACTAACAGGGAAGAACTGGTTGATGAAATGAATGTTGTGGGATCTACAGGATTTTCCCACCCTGGAGTTGGCAACCCTAGAGATTCCTGGAGATTTTGGGGTGGAACCTGTGGAGGGCAGGGCTTGGAAAGTGAGAGACCTCAGAGGGGTATAATGCCATAGTCCACCCTCCAAAGCCGCCATCTCCTCCAGGAGATCTGACCTTTGTAGTCTGAAGACCAGTTGTAATTCCAGGAGATCTCCAGGCCCCACCTGGAGGTTGGCAAGGCTAATGCTGACAGTATGGACTATTTTTTTTATCTTGATGCAGTCAGGAAGACCACACAAGGCAGAATTTAAAGCAAAAACCTTAATTTTCTGTTCTTCTTACAGCCCCTTGCCCTTCTTTTTCCTCTATCCTGTTTCTTTCCTCCTGCTTTCAGTCTAATGGAGTCTAGTTTGCCAGCAACAGACTATGGATTCTTTAACATCAACGTTAGAATGAAGAACAGGTGTTAAAATACAGCAAAGGTGTTTTATATATAGAACTTATATAAGTGTTTTGCTTTCCATTAGGCTTTTAGTCTCTGCCCGGATAGTCAGAAATTCTTTGATGTGCAAGATTTTAATAGTCCTAAAATGTCATCTTTCTATGACAGGTGAGTATGAGCAGATGTTGCATCCAGGATAAAATTATATAGCTATATTAAAGTCAAGCTATTTCCCTTGTATCTGTGGTTTTCCCCACACATGTAGTTTCTGGCGGTTGTGTGCCAGTACTGCCTCTGGCTTTTTCCCCCTTTAAAAGTGCCCGTAAAAAACCTTGAGAAATAGCTAGGAAAGACCGAAGTGACCACTAGAGGGAGCAAAACACACGGGGAAAAGAAAAACAACAAGGTAGTACGGGCACATAACCGATGAAATAACATGTGCGCAGGCATTCGTGTGTGTGGTTACTGGCAAAGAACTGTAGGCAACAGTGTACTGTTACTACCACCACCACCACCACTAGTACTAGTAGTAACAATAATAAGTGGGCTGTGATGGGTTCAAACGGTGTCTCTTCATGCTGTTGCTAGAGGACTGAGGGCAGGGACAAAACTAACCAAAGGTCTCTCACCCCTGGCCTCAAGCGATCATGGCACTCCTATGCTGAAAGATCTGCTCAGGCTATCCATCTGTTTCCAGGCACAGTTCAAAGTGCTGCTTCTTGCCTTTAAGTCCCTAGATGGCTTGGGGCCAGGGTCTCTGAAGGACCTTCTCCGTCCCTGCCTCTCAAGCCCTGCTCTCTCACCCTCAGAGGTGAGGTGGGTGGCGACCTGAGATAGGGCATTTTCTATAGTGGCACCTTGCCTTTGGAATGCCCATGCCCTTGAGGCTCACCTGGAGCCTACTTTATTATTTTTTAGGCCCACCTGGAGCCTACTTTATTATTTTTTAGGCCCTGGGCTAAAACATATCCTTTTAACCCAGGCTTTTAATTAGGGGTTTTACCTTATCAGTTTTTTAATGGTCTGCTTCTGTTTTATAGACAGTTTTTATGGTGCTTATGCCTAATGGCTTGTTTTTAATGGCTTTTTTTTTGTACTGTGATGATTTTAATTGTAAGCCATCTCAAGCAGGAGTCTGAAGCAGCAGCATTGAAATATTATAAACAGATAAATAAACCCTGGTGCTGCTGTGCATACTGCTATCCCATTAGGAACTGTGGAATACATAGCCCCCCTCCTGCCACTAGAGGTAGTTGTCTAGCTTGCTCAGTAAGGCAGCAGTCACTGTGGGTAAGGCTTTATCATCTCCTAGGCCACAGCTCTTAAAGCAGTCCCAGATGCCCCTCTTCCATCTGCATCTCTGCTGTAAGACTGAGGGGCACATGGCTGACACAAGCCCTCAGATGGTCCAAATGTTTTATCTTTACTTGGTTTCTTCAGTAGGCTGCTCTGTGTTTGAAGATCAGTGTTCCCAGAGTGTAAGCAATTTTGGAAGGGGCACACAAATACACAAGCAGAACTGAAATTTGTAAACGTCTTTTCATAACAACAAGCTAACTGCCAAAGAAATCAGGAAAGCTGAAGTAAGGAATCTTCCATGGTCTGAGTACTGAATAATGTTAAATAGAAAGCAGTTTAAGGGGTAATGAATGCAAATGGGTGTGTGTTGTGGACTGCAAGGGAGGTTCCATATTCTGGCAAACAGGCTGGTTTAATTTAAGAAGGAACACAATAACAAATTTATTTATTTAAGAGATTATCCAACCTTTTGTGTAAATTCAGGATAGTGAACAATAAAAAGTCAAAAACAATACCAAAACATTTATAGACAGACTCTGAGGCATGAAAGCCTAAGTTGTGAAGGTCTGTAACCTGCAAGAATAAAAATAAGTACCTTGAAAATTATTTGAAAGCACACAGAGGACTGACACAGTACATGACCATTTCTGTTCAGAAAGTGTAGGCAAAAAAAGAGACTTCCCAGTAGTAACATAAACGAGAACAAAAAAGCTGTGGAATGAGACACTAAACCAATATTGTAATCTATTATACTAAGAAAATTCAAATATATACTGTACAGCAAAATCCAAAAAGTATGGCAATACAATGCAAACAAAGTGATATACAATCACTGACAAAGAATATACAATCTACAATCTGATAAGAATTATACAGTAACGAAGATCCCGGGTATGTTATATTGTAAAGCAAAATCCAAAAAGTATGGCAATACAGTGCAAAGTGATGTACAATCACTGACAAGTAACATACGATGCACAATCTAATAAGAATTATACTTACTTCTAAGTAAATATACATATAATCTGACTGAACATCACTGAAACTCTGGCAGCTGTGTTTGAAAAACTTTTTAATAGAAATTAGTAGCAGATCTTAATTTCAGACCTTTTCTGCATGTGTTGTTTTCATTGGTTCAGGCCCTGTATTGCTTCAGCATTTTTGTCATTTCTGCACATTTTGGACTGCCTCCAGAATTTATTCTGATGTTTCCCCATTTTTCTTACACTTTTTGGTGGGGACCCAAAAGAAGCCAATTTTGAATCACTTCTTTGAGTGCGCGAAATGCTGCATTCAGTTTATCTGGATCCACCCAGCAATGCCCTCCTCTGGGTGAAACTGCACCCCTGTGTTTTCCCTCCTCCACTTACCTTTCCCTTTATTCCATCAATTCTGATTTTTTAAAATCACATTTACATTTATATGATGCTGTAAAAATATTTCATATGCCAGATTTTCATGCAAAATGCAGCTTTTCTTTGGAAGTTGTTGATTTGTGTGGTTCAAGTTAATTTTTTTTTGCATATTTTTATATTGATGTGCTGTATCTCAATTGCATTCAATTGCAGTTCCTTTCAGGAAAACCCTCTGATGCTGAACAGTTACAATTCACCACATTACATTTATTTGTACAGCTGGCAATACTGAACACATGTGCCATGTTGTTGTCAGAAAAAATGTGCCATTTTCTTTTCCTTCCTACAGCTCCTTTTCCTGGGCTACACAAATGGTGATTCTTGGACATGCACGTTTATCTGCAACTGATGCAAGAATCACCATGGGAAAACTGTTGTATCGAATCACAGTGCATCTGCCTCTGGGCAGAAACTTTGAACACTGCAGAAAAACCTTTCCCCAAAGAGGCACCATTTATCTCCCATGTTTTCCACTGCTGCATTTTATGTGAAGAAAAGCCAGATTCAGAGGAGCTGTTTAAACATGATCTGGTGACTATCAGCCCTGACAACATCCGTTGCTCCATACCAATAGATGTGAGTATTGCTCTCTCCCCTCCCCTCACTCTGGCAGGACTTTGAGGAATTATGAGTGATTTCCCTGTGTTCTATCCCTTCAGGCACTAATGAGAATATACCCACAACAGTGGAGAGCACTCCTTCAGACGTGGAGGGCCTCAATAAGACAAGAATCATGGAGTGGATGCACCAAGGTAACTTTCCTGAGTCACTGGCCATTTCAGTCATCCCATGCCCCTCCCTCCCATTAATTATACTACTGTTTTAATAGCAAAATAATGCCACTTCTCTTCTACAGTGATATAACACTGCCTCCTTATGCTCTACTGGTGGCAGAAAGTCCCACAAAGGAGGGGGAAATAATTCAAAAGAAGGGAATTCGAACTGTATGCTGAGAGGGAGAACTCAAGCAGGCCTATGCCCTGTTGGCTGGTGCATTACTGTGGCTTCTCTCTCTTCAGGAAAAAACTTTTGCTATAAGCAGTGTTCCCTCTAAGCTGAGTTAGTGTGAGCTAGCTCATAGTTTTTTAGCCTCTGGCTCACACATTTTTGTCTTTGCTCAGGAAGGATGGCTCCAGAGCAAGCTAATTTATGCAGCAGCCAAATCACTGGCTCACAACTTCAATGCCAGTAGCTCACAAAGTAGACTTTTTGCTCACAAGACTCCACAGCTTAGAGGGAACATTGGCTATAAGTACTGTGGTTCACAAGGCACAATGGCACCCACTAGTCGAAGGCATTGATACATGGTCATTTTTAAATTTCAGGTGACATTACAGCATTTAGGGATCAGCAGCCTTGCCGGATGATGAAGATCCAAGTCCCATTCCCTGTTGCCTGAACAGCAAGATAATTTACATCTGTTGTTTCACTGTTAGCTGTCATTTGCAGCCTGCAACTCAAGGTTCTCCTGATCCTTCAACAAGATTAACAAGGCCGTCTGCACCCGGGTTTCACCCCTGGATGGGCATGGTCATTTTATTCCTCCTTTTCCTTCATTTCCGTTGTGCCCAGGAAGTGCTGCTGCAGAACCTTCCTTTCATGCGCTCCATTCCTGTTGTGTTCTGCCTGGTGCATTGGGAGAGAATTGCCAACCTCTAGGCGGTGACTGGAGATCTCCTGCTATTACAACTTATTACAGCTTAGACTAAAGTTCTTATTTGGAACTTTTCCTCAGTAAGGACAAGGAGCTGTGTCCCTTCACTTCACAAGTGAACTTGTCTGTTTCCCTCCGACAGACACACTAACTCCACTTGTCTGACTTCTGACATGCTGGAGAGAAAGCAAGACAGAAAAAGATCCTTTTCCTCAGCACTCAGCTGTACTTAAAGCTCACCTCAGCTGGTGCTGACCAATCAGAGAGAAGGGGGTGCATGCAGGCAGCAGCCTGTCAATCAACCTGTGCTTCACAGTGAGGCATTAACTCTTAACCTCTCAGCTCTCTGAATTTCATGCATTAAGCATCCTGCTTTGGAGGTCGGTATGTCATATCCCTCTGCTGTCCCTTCTCTACACAGAGGTTGTGTAGAATAATGCAGGCTGTGACCAGAAATGTTGTGTTCTCCTCAAAGATGGTGAGGCATGCCAGAAAGTAGTACCATTGCACCTTAAACCAGCCGAAGGCATGCTCAACAACATTTCTGACCCTACAAAGCATGTAATCAAAGTTCCTCTGGCGCTTGTTCCTGTTCCCCCAATAAAGCCCAGTTCTGGCACAGATATATCCTCCAGAGTGGTGGTGGGGTTCCCTAGAATTCTGCATCCATTCCTGCACAGAATTCAGAGCTGCAAAAGACAAAAGGCATCATTGTTCTTGTTGCTCTGTCTGACCTCTGTGTCAATGAATGGACCAGTGTGATCCATGATTCCC